CCACCGTCCTCCGTGCCGGGCCTTTCCTGTCTGTCTGTCCGGCAGGCTGGCTCTGCCGGGTGTTCCCACGGAGCCCGAGCCGGGCGCCCGGTGGGGAGTGGGGAGTGGGTGGGGGGAGCCAGCAGAGTTCCATTTTGGAACGCCCGCGCCGCGTCTCAGCGCTCCCGGCCGGTCCCCGCACTCCCAGCCCCGGCGCAGGTAAGAAACTTCGCCCCGTGCCCCGCGCCCCCGCCCGCCGCCGCCAGCCCTAGCCCCGCGCGCCGCGCCGGCCGCTCAGCCCAACTTTCCCACCGCCACCGCCGCGGCCCCGAAAATGTGTTGTTCCTGGGACTTGGCTGGGTTTGGGATTGGAGGGGGCAGGGTGGCAGGGGGGCGCGGGCTGTTTTTGCCGGTGGGAGGCAATCCGAGGCTATGGAGGGGAGGGGGCGTGATTTTTTAAAAGAGTTTTGATGACAAGTTTGGGTACATGGGAGCCAGACCGAGGAGGAGGAGGAGGAAAAACATGTCTACGTTTCCCTATGTCGACATAAGCCACAAAAAAATATGGCGTCCGCTTTCGACAGGGCGTTACGTAGACCCGACTCGGTTTTTATTTATTTATTTCGTGGCCAGTTCCCTCCCTTCTCGGCCAAACTGCGGCGCTTTGTGCCAACGGAGCGGGTCCCGCGGGGACTCCACCGGGACGGGGCTCCGTCTCTGCGGGGTTCGGCGGTCAGGGGGCTGCGTGTGGCGGCTCTCCTCCCCGCCCCCCCCCGCCCCCAGTCTCCCCGCTCCCGGTGACGATTCGCCGTAATGTGGTGGCAGGAAGCATGACGCCGTGGGTTGAGGCTGCTTCGCCTCTCGTCGCTCCTGGTGGCTGCAGGCGGCGGGCGCGCAGCGCGGGCGACGGCGGAGCTACCTGGCGGGGGGAGGGCCAGCGCGCGGCACGGTCCCCACGCCCTGCTCAGGTGCTGGGGGACCGCGTGGAGAGGGGGCGACGAGGGTTCGGGAATCCCCGGCCCTGCTGCCCGCGGTCGGCTGGCCCACGCCCTAGCCTGCCTCTGCTACCCAAGCCCACGCTCGCCCCCTGCACGGCAGCTGGCGCTCCCCGTCTGCCCCACAAGAGGTTAATCCTTGTTGGTGTTGCAGCTTCTTTGTGGCTTCCCCAGGACTTGGTATCCTTGGCTTTGCAAACTTGCCCTTTTTCCCAGCCGCTTTGCTGGAGGCTGCGGAGACGAAGATGAGCGGAAAGTTGGAAGCCGGCGAGCATTACAGGACGGTCCCCTTGGCCTCGCTACCGTGCGGAGCTCGGGAGGAGGAGGGGGTTTGTCAGGCTGGGGCGAAAACTTGACGAGGAAGTCAAGTTGTGATTTGCTTAGGCTTCCACCTGATTGCTTGGCTTCAAAGCCATTGGGGCCGCTGCCTTCAGCTATTTCCAATGGCCTTTTGTTTGCGGGAGGGGGAGTGAGGAATAATGACTTTCAAGGGACCCCTCTTCTTGTAAAGAGCCGCCGCCCAGCTTGGGCGCCAGCCCCAAGGATCACTGAATCTTTCAGGCCCTAGACTTCTTCCCCTACCTGATCGCTGATGAGCACTTTCCTTTCCAAGTTAGGCAGATCTTGTTGGGCAGGATTTGGGGGGCAGGGATCTGTGCCCTTCACTTTTTTGGTCATCCGACCTCCCAGAATTGCCCTCTTAAGAGAGTACACGCGCGGGCGCACACACAGACACACACACACACACACACACACACACACACACACACACACACACACAGGGGCGAATTACCCAATAAGCAAGGTAAGCATGGGCTTACTTGTGCTTACTTACTAATCTGTAGTGAACCAAACCTGTGAAATTGTTCACTACAGATTAGTAAGTAAGCACAAGTAAACCTGTATTTACCTTGCTCACTGAGTCATCCACCCATGTCAGGGATTGTAACTTTGAAAAGATGCTTTGATTCTGTAGGAAGGTGCTGTGGGGTTGGGAAGGAGACAGATGCCAGCCACACCTAGAAGCTGAATCTTTGATGTGGTGAAAAAATGTGAAATTGTTCACTACAGATGATCTGGTAAGCAAGGTAAGCACAGTGCTTACGTTGCCTATTGGCTTATCTGCTCCTCACACATACACACATTCATTCACACACATACTCACACTGTCATTCACTCATACACACACACACACACACACTCTCACTCTTCTATGTACGGTAGAAATTAGTGCCTTTAGAAGTCAAGGGGGTGGGGTTCTGAGAGCGCTTCAAGATTTCAGTCAAAAGGTGATTTTCTGTTTACGAGGGCAGCGAGTTTAAGCAGTTCGTCCCACGGCAGTAATGTCAAAAAGCATTTGGATAACAACCAAGTGGAATAAACATCTTGTAAAATGGCATGTTTAATAGTAAAATAGATTAATGGAGCCTTCAAGTGGTTGAATGGGACTAACATAAAGTTTTAATTTAAGTTTGAATGCAAAGTTACATAAACCCATGTACATGCCTTTTAAGCCAGAGGGAAAAATCTGAAAGTAAGTCTGGAATGTGTCACTGACAATAATTAGACCTGTGGACTGTGGAAATACTGTTGCTCTTCAGGTGCTCTGGTATGCACCTGTACCTTTCCTTCTGGCTGACCAGGTTTGATGCCATCTAAGGATCCACCTGATGTGAACAGCTCTTAACGGGAAAATTCAGGAGGCCAATTTCAGGGTCAATCAGACATGTGAACTAACCCCTGTTTAAAGGAAAAAATCAAAGTGATGTACCTGTTTGTTGGCAAGAAAGAAGGGTTTCCCATGATGTAAATGCAGGATGTCTTGACATAGCTGAAAGGTAACCCCATCCTAAGTGTCTCATTCACATCAGGGCCATGTGTTTGGGTAGGATGCTGTGCATTTGATAAAGAGAATAACGATGATGTTTGATAATGGTTGCTAACACAGTATGCCAGGCAGGATACTGTACGTTTTATGTGCTTTATGGTTTAAGTCTCACCATAAACTTATAAGTACTGTTCCTATCCCCGGTTTACAGTTGAGGAAATGGAGACTCAGAGAGGTGAAGAAACTTGCCCAAAGCCACACAGTAAAAAGCAGAATCAGTGCTGGAAGCCAGGTCTGACCTGAGAGCCTTAACTGTTCTATTATAGCAGCTTCCAAGACATGGTAAGCTGCTGTTAGAATGAAAAAGTAAGGGGTCAGGTGCAGGCAGGTGAAGAGGGAGCAGTAACCACAGGGCTACGTGGTGGTCTGAACACATAGAAATACGCCTGGGTTTCATTCTTTTATTCATTCATGTAGCAGCCATGCTTTGCTTTATTTAGTCATTCAGCAGTTGTAATGTTCATCATCATAGGAAGAGCCCACAGTCATTAAGCACTTTTATATTCCAGGGACTGTTCTAAGTGTTTACAATTAAACTCTTTTGCCTTCACAACAACCCTATGAGGTAAGTACTCTTGTTGTTAATTGCTGTGGAGTTGGCTCCGACTCATGGCAACCCTGGTCCTGTGTCACCTTCATGATTGTTGGTATGCTCAAATCCATTGTTGTACCTTCTGTGCATTTTGAGTGCCTTTGAACCTAGAGGGCACTATATTGGACAGTATTCTGTTGTGATCCATAGGATTTTCATTGGCTAATTTTCAGAAGTAGATCGCCATGCCTTTCTTCCTAGCCCGTCTTAGTCTGGAAGCTCTGCTGAAAGCTGTATACCATGGATGACCCTGCTGGTATTTGAAATACTGGTAGCCCAGCTTCCAGCATCATAACAACATGCAAACCACCACATTATGAGAAGTACTCTTAGTTTCTTCTTTTATAGATGAAGAAACAGAGGCATAGAGAGGTTAGCTAACTTGCCCAAAGCTAAACAGCTAGTAAGCCACAGTGCCATACCCAGAACATGTGCTCTCAGCCAGTGCATGCCGAGGTTCCAAGGCAAAGCAGACATTATGGAGATACAATGAGACAGAGTGCCCCCTCCGTCAAGAATTTGAGCTGACTGGCAGGGAAACACCCGTGGGCCAAATCAAGCAGGGTTAAGTAAGTGCTATAATTGAGACAAATGCTGCCGTGAAGCAGGGTGAAGGGTGTGATTATTCTGCTGAGGGAACATGGAGAATTCCCTAGAGCGGGGAGCATCTGAACTGACCCATGAATGGCTAGGAACAATAACTGGAGACATGTCACATATCATTGCATTCAGCTGCTAGCGACAGAAATCCTGACCACCAGTGACTTCACCCGGTGGGGGCTGATTTGTGTCCGACAACAAAAAGGGTGGGTGGGAGGGACATTGCCTTAGCCCTACCATGGGGAACCCAAGCTCTGTCTTTCCATTCTGCCGTCACTAGAGTGTGGGCCTTTGGCCCCAGGTTTATCATCTCGTGGTAGGAAGGTGGCTGCTGTGTCTCCAGGCCTCGCATCTGCGTTCCAGGAGGGAAGAAAGTAGGATGAGTCAGGAGCAAAATGCTTTTACTTAGTACAGCTTTGCAGTTGTGTTTGGGAAAGGACACTCCTCCTAGGGACTTCAGTCCTTAACTCACCCACCAGAACTGTGGCACGTGGCCACCCAAACCTGCCAGGGAGGGGCAGTCAAATATTTTTAGCTAGGCACCGTGAACAAGTTGGAGTTCAGTTTATAACGTGGAAGGAATGAATGGAGGTATGGTTGTTACGTTGGCAGGTAGAGTGTTTGACACCTAAGATACAAAGGTTATCTCTGATGAAAAATAAAACTGTGTCCTGGAAGTCGTGAGTATCCTGGGAAGGTGGAGAGGGGGATGCATGGGAAGCAGGACAAACAGATGATGCAACATGGAGGAGGTTGGCTTTTAATCCGTAGGTACTGGGGAGCCGTGGCAGGTTGTTGAGGAGGGAATGTCATGGGTTTTAGGAAGGTTAAGACTGACAGCAGGGTGCCTTGGGGAGACAAACCAGCTTGGTTTTTATCTGAAGTAAAATGGGTTCTGGAACATTTCTGACCAGGGGACCAGTTTTACCTTCGGGCAAAGAGAAGAGAACAGACCGTAAGGAAGCGAGGAATAGTGGGGGGATTTTCTTTTAGGTCTTGCCAGTAAGAATCCAAAGTTATCTGGATGTTAGTCAGCTGTTACTCGGAGGTCGCTATCTCTCCTTTTGCTGTAACTCAGTTAGTGGAACTGAAAAGCTGGAAAGGGGTGCTGCTGACTCCCCAAATATTCCACTTGCCTTTCTCC